ATGCACACCCATGGCGTCAACGCGGCACCCCGGTCAGCCTCGGTCTTCAGCCCTCGAACACTTCTTAACGGAGCTGTCTCTTCCAACTCCCTGGATTTGCCTGCTTTCGCTAGTCACTCCCTCCATTGTTTCTAGCATTAGTTCAGGTAGTCAATATTGCATCACAACACCTTTCCGGTCCTCGACAAACTTGCTTGTTCCAGGGGTCCACGGGTGACTTCCCGCAATCGCAACCATGGCTCTGTACAACCAAACTGTGGATTTCCTCTCTGGTGCCTTTTCAAACAAGCAGACTCAACTCCCCTTGCTAGCAGTGACTGGAGCTTCGTTCACACTTGGTCTACTCGCTCGATCTGTTTTCCCTCGAGGCGAATCGCTCCAGACTGTTCTTGCCTCGCCTCGGACGACAGTTTTGCCTGGCATATCCGAGTCGGAGAATCGCCAACTGCCTCTCCCGTCTGATGTTCTGCCCGGTGCTCGTGATGTCGATAGCCCGTACGGGTCAATCCGAGTGTATGAATGGGGCCCGGAAGATGGACCCAAAGTATTGTTCGTGCATGGTATCACCACGCCGTGTATTTCGCTCGGCGGGGTGGCCCATGCGCTGGTGGATCGCGGCTGCCGTGTGATGCTCTTTGACTTGTAGGCGTTGCGCAAGATTCAACACTTCGACTTATCGCTAACCTAAAAATTTACGTAGGTTCGGGAGAGGATATTCCGACTGCCCTGCTGATCTTCCACAAGATGATCGCCTCTTCTCAACACAGATCCTCCTCGCTCTGGCATCATCGCCTATCGCTTGGACGGGTGCCGAGTCTGGTAAATTCTGCCTTACTGGTTACTCTCTTGGAGGCGGCATTGCAGCTGCCTTTGCATCGTACTTTCCTCAGCTTATGTCGTCATTGGTGCTCCTAGCCCCTTCGGGCTTGCTCCGCAATTCGCAAATCAGTTTCCAGAGTCGACTCCTTTACTCAAAGGGTCTTATGCCTGAGAATATCTTAGCAACCTTGGTTAGCCGTCGACTCAAATCAGGCCCCTTGGTCACGCCCAAGCCCAAGAACAAGAAACTCAGCGCCGCCGATGTGCTCACCGAGGAACTGCCTTCCCAAAGCGCCGCGGCAAGCCAAATTCTGTCCCGAGAATATCCTCACATCAATATCCCTTCTACTGTGGCGTGGCAGGTGAATAACCATACAGGATTTGTCCATGCGTTTATGTCTAGCATGCGTTATGGTCCAATCCTGCAAGAGCGTCAATGGAATAGATGGGCGCGTCTTGGCGAGTATTTAACTGCACAGAACGCCGCCTCAAGCAACGAAAATAAGAGACCTGCAGAGAACAAAGTCCACATTCTGTGTGGCAACAACGATTTAATCATTGTCAAAAGTGAGCTTGTCCCAGATGCCACGGCTGCCCTGGGTGACAATGTTGTCTTCGAGTTCTACGAAGCAGGACATGAGTTCCCCAGTACCAAGTACGAGGAAGTAGCATCTTATATCTTCGAGTTACTATAAACAAGGGGTTCCACGGAATCTACTGTTGAGGGGAGGGGTTTGGGATATATCCATGTTCATTGGACATTCGTTCGGTTCCATTTGGTAGATTCAATATACATAGAAGTTTGTGTTGGTTTATTCATTTTTTTTATTCATTTGCTTTTGTTTCCTAGCTTCCAGTCTTTAGGATCTCCTCCACGGCATTGAGCTGACTTGATAGCCCTGTGAGGTGTGCCGATCTGTCTGGCATCCGCGCACCGGCAAAGTAAGGGCCCTCGGAGGCTGGTGCTCGTGCAAATCGGTCCACACTGCTGCGGTTGCTTCCTGGCAATTGGCTGACGTTGCCTTGGCTTACGGCGTTAGGACTGGTGCCATTGGCAGTACTACAGGAAAATCTGGTTAGTTGGCTGATAAAAGGATACATTTGGATATAGATGTACTCACGTTGTGGTTCTGGGTTCCGGAATGGACATGATGTGTGGATGGTTGTTTATGATAGGTGTGAGGTTCTCACAGGTGGTTCAGAGGGATCAGAGGAATCAAAAAGTCGAGTCACCAGAATAGGACTCAGTAGAAGGAAGGTTGGGGTAGTGTGGTGTTCAAGAGTGAGGTATGTGCTTGGCTTTGATTGGTATGTTTAGAAATGAGCCGTGGTGATGAGGAATTGCTGAGTTTCTGAGTTTCTGGGTTGTTAAGCTGATGATGTCCAGGATACAACTGAGCGGGAGCTCCTATATATACACTGCAGGTCTGACGCTATGCATGGGGACGGCATGCCTTTGGGGCCGAACACGCGAGCTTGAGCTTCGCATCACAGCCCACATGGACAGTACGAGCTACACAACGAAGGAAACGAGGAAAAGATCTTCATCGAGTGCATGAACTCCACCTGCCATGGGCCTGTGATGGCATCTCGACCCTTGAGCTCAACGTTCGCCAAGACCGAGTCTGCATGAACCATGCCAGTTCAGGAATTCGTTTAGCGGGAGACCCAGAAGGTCCGTACCAAAGGAGCACATACCCGTTCGGCTCATCTATGCAAAACAAGCGACAAGTCCGTTGTTATTGGCCGAACTGCAGGTAACCGGGGCTAGGAGGCAGGTACCAGCCGCATAAGGATGCGTGGACTAAGACCCACTTTTACGATCATCCTGAGCGTAAATACAACATTCTTGCTAAGCACATGGCCAACCACATGTTTCAGGTCTAGGAATATCCGGACTCTCAAAATACGTGGAATGAAGCGAGGGGGTGGACCTCAATTCGAGTTTCAAACTGGATCTTCGATTGAGCTATCAAACAAGGGACAAGATCACGATCTCCATTTGAAAAGAGATTAACCTCATTTTTTCAAGGGTCTAGAGCCAGTTGAAACAAACAAATCCCGAACCATCCTTGGCGGCAAAAGCGCTTCGCAATGGACCGGCATCCTCGCGTGGGATGACTACGACGCAAACCTCCAGGGTGAAACAATGTCGGGGGCTAACGTGGTCGATCACATGGCCGTGTAATGACCCAGGGGCTTAGCTCTAAGAGGTCAGAAAGAGAAAATAAAATAAAACAAGGCTCACCATGCTGCATTCCCCGGGCCACGCGCGCCTGGTGCATGTTTCCTTCATTTCCCTTTCTTGACACCAACACTGCAGATCCCTCAACGGCGAAGTCTGGATTAGGGCACGCTACTCTCGGCACAAAATATTTTGATAGTACAGGGTCCATACCAGTCATGCCTTACCAGAGTTAAGCCCTACAAGGGTTGTTTCATATCATAATTTCAAATACAGGAATGCTTAGATACTGCATAGCAGCCGGAGATCACCGAAATGCGAGTGACTTTTTTTTTTAGAAACCCCCCAAATTACGTGCGTAAGAAAAGGGGGAACATGGATTGCCTTGTTACAGCCGATTATGACGAGTCCAAAGGCTGGAACAACTCAAGAAGGAAAGCTTCAGTGATAGCAATTTGCCTTTGAGTGGAACCAAGTCCTGGACCCATTCGCGGATCAAACGGCTCAATCCTCAAAAAGGCGTTAGTTTACGAGACAGGCAACGAGTTTAGACATCCGGCTAAAGGCTACTAAATGTGCTGACGCTGATCTCTAGGTTGTAATGAAGTATCCGCGGAAATAACGGATTTCCGCTATGCTTTACGGACCGAGAGCAGTGGATCGTACCGCGTACACTACTAACTATGCAGATATATGTGCATTATTGGCTTTCTTTTTTTTCACTTTTAGGCTAAACCAAGCCACAATCGCCATATGGAAACCAGTGTTTCAAGATAATAAGGTTGCTTTTCCCACGCGTATCCAAATGTGCTCATTCCCCCTTAGCAATGTTTGACGAGGTCTCCCGTTAGTATATGCAAGGCACGGTTGGACGGAATTCCAGCAACCTTATCTCCATACGCTACGGCGTCGATCACTTGGCTCGCTCAGCCCGAAACCCCTAAATCTGGTAATCCGTCTGAGGTGAGCAGGTCCTAGGTGGTACAGCATACGATGGCGTTGTACGGAGTAGTTCATGATGTACTCTCAACCCCACAATGATATCAGCCCTGGAGAACTCGAGTTCAAGAGCTCATTCTTTTTTTAGACTGAAACGTAGCCCCTGAAGCTTACAGAAACTCAATGGGACCCTTTCTCCTCTCCTTGATTTTACCTATCATAAAAAGAAAAGAAACTTGTCCGAAAAATCATCCAAGGGGGAGAAATTGACAAGGGCGTTGACCAAAGAGGAAGTGATCATCTATACAATTTCCTTTTTTGGATTATTTAACTCAACTTGCCAATCACCAGCCTGAAACGCAACTCAATAGTTCAACCTCATCCACAGTGGAGTCCGGTATAGATGCCGAAAGTCCAGCTGTAGCTTGTTACCATCGCAACCCGTGCTCCTAACACAGCCATACCACGAAATTAAACGGCGATTCGGGTCCCAAACAAATGGTAGCTGTTGGCTGAAAACGTATCCTTTTTTTTTAATCTTTTTATCCACGCGCGTGAACGTGGTCTATGCACCCGGCTTATTTTATGCGACGGCTCTCCCTTTGCCGGTAAGCCACCTTATCAAACTGCAAACCCTGGTGGAACTTCCTCGGCTCCTCGGCTGCAAACAACGGACTTTGCTCGGAATCGGACTAGTACTTGCAAATTTCGTCTTGGTCCAGCTGACGAGTCTACTCTACGCCTTGAAATGACATCGTCGAGATGTGTAATAAACGAGGATCGTAATATGCTCAGCCTTGGCTAAGCCGCATGCATTTTGATATTCAGATCGCGAGTTAGGTGCATGAATCAAGGGATGACGGCATAGCCACATCCCTGGAGTGCCGAGGGCCCTTGGACTCGTACAGAAGCTAGGACTGAAAATGATTATTAAAGGAATTCGTTTCTTTGCTTTTATTTTAGCAACTAGAGTAAAAAAGAGGAAAGGCTGTTCAATCCTGACACTGCTCAACCAGTTAAATCACCATATCACATCTTAGAACATATGCCATGGACATTAAATATGGGGAATTGATGACAACCAATCCACTGTGGTATAAGAACCAGCAGGCAATGCCCGGAGGGATATAAACATCAAGATGACACTTCCCCAGCGTGCAGTGGCATAACAGAAAAACCACATCAGATTGATAAACAGGTCAGATGGTTTCGACCAACTGGCACTTGAGACACGCTCCTCCTTGTCATCTAATGTACGCCGGAGGCAATAGAATGACCAAAGGTATTTAAAGTACAGAGGCCAAGTGATGAAGAGTGCAACTAGCGAGAACACTCGCCATACTATCTGTTCCTCCCTTGTTGGGAAGGTAGAATTCCATCTACGTGTTTCGATTATTAGCTTTGTCTGGTATTGAGAGGAAGATGAATGGGTATAATAGTACGTACGCGGCAACATGTATCCCGCAAAATACCAGCCCACTAAACATATAGAAATGAGCGATATTGGTCCATTCCATGATCGTTAACTTTTCGTCGTCTTCCAATGAGATCATCGTTTTTTGTGGCTTGGATTCTAGCTCGGTTTCATGATGAGTTTCTACCTCTCGGTGGTCATTTTTACTGGCATCAGAGGGCTTCCTCAATGGTTCTTTTCCTTGGGAAGTTTCCTTTCCGGCCAGTATTTCGTCAACTTCTGGCTCATTTCTCGGTTGTTGAATGACACCATCCGAAATTTCCTCATCCTGATGGTCATTATTGATATTCACTGGTTCTGATCCTGGCTCATCGCCAACCTCTTTGTCTATATGGCTACCACGGTTGGCATGAGATGCTTTCTCAGTCTGCCGGGAACTTTCCTCGTCTTGGTGGCCACTATCGCTGGCATCAGAGGGCTTGGCTGTTGCCTCTCGTATTCCAACTTCCAGCCTAGCTTTCAGCACTTCCCAGTTCCTATTCCATGACCAAGGTGCGCATAGAACTGATAACACTCTAAGTTGGAAATGGAAAATTGCGACAAGGATTTGCCATACCGGAGATCCAGTGTCTCTAGCGATGGCATCCGAGTGGACCCAGTTCCCAACTTCTGCGTCTAGAATATCTCTGACTTGAGGTGGGAGACTCTCGGAATCGCGATCGTATGGCAGATAAATCGTGATTGGTGTTACCATATCTTTCGGTTTATTCCACCAGATTATATATGTAGCGGCGGCACAGGAGATATAAGCCACTGTAGCAATCTCGAGAGCTGTAATGGGCATGTTGTATGCTCTTCTGGCAATAACATTGCAAGTCACCCAGAAGGCTTGGAGCAGCGTGAATCCTTTGGCAAAGGAGTCAGCTTTGGCACGGTCTTGGATATCTCTAGCCCTCAAATGAGATGGCTTGATAACGCGCGTTTCGATCAGGGCAACAACGTTGCTACAGTGTACTGGATATGTCCAATCATCCTTGGTCTGAAGAAGAACACCATTCATACCAAGGCAAAACCCTTGGACAGTACCCCAGCGACCATCAAATTCTTCTGCCTTTGATGTTTTTGGGACTTCCGGGGAGTCTGGATCACTTCCTCCGCTGTTTATTATGCGGAAAGCAGCATTACAGCGTGCCACTGCAGACCTTGCCTGCCATAGTTCTTCGGCTGCAGTCCCAGCCATAAACTCCGGGGCAAGGATCGTGCCTACCCATGCTGCTGTCTTCCACCAAAGATATACTGCTTGTGTTTCAGCACGGGTTGGGACAGAAATGTGCAGGGCTGTCCATGTGCAAGCAAGGATTGTTGAAACACAAGTCCAGAAAATGTCCCAACTTGAGCGTGTATTGTCATCCAACTGCCAGCCTTCCAGGGCCGTTGAATTGGACTGGGCTAGTGATTGGTTGACAAAGCCAAGCAGTAGTAGAAACGCAAACATGGCGTGTGCCTGAATTTTGCGATCCAAGTTGCAGAAGATTTAAGAAGCTAGGAAAACAGAAAGGGGTTTAGCTCGACAACTCAGCCACACGATGTGGAGAGTAAAAAGGAGGCGGGGTCTTCCCTTTAAGGTCGGTCCAAGTGGTGGATCACCGTTTATGTCTGAGCTATAGTTCCCATGTTTTCCAAATATAGTGGCAATAACATTGGAGAATAAAATATTTTTAAGCAATAGGGGTATTCATTGTTAATGTGAAACAACTACACTAAGAAATATTTAGAAACATAATATCTGGCCCGAGGCCTGAACATAAGATTTTTGAATATGTACAATAGCCACCCGAAGCGCCGATGCACCGAATGCAGTATTTAAAGAGACCTCGCTTGAAAACATTTGAAAATAGCAACACGAAAGGGAAAAAAGAAATTGAGAAATTGAGTCTAAATGCTCACAACTGTCGTCGAGTATGGTCATGGCTGGTGGGGAAGAGCGGCAGCGAAGGATCCACAACATCATTATATGGTCTTCTGGCTGCCATTGAAATGTCTTCGTCACTGGGCGGGGCAGTGACCACGCGCGCGGGATGGGGGTGGCCTTCTGCATCCTCCTCGCCTCTTGCGATCTTCTCAAGGGATGACAACTCCGTCGTCGTTCCGGTACGGGACCAGCGGAAAGAGTCACGGTCATCGCCAAGAGGCTTGTACTTGGTGTCGGGCTTCTTGAAGAAAATGGCGTAAACCATGCCAACCAAGAGGTAAATCAGGAGCACAAGAGTGAATATCGCATTCAAGAGGAAGAAGATTACTCCCAGGATACCAGTCATGAGCTCAGGTTGATCGAAAACATCCGAGAAGACAAGCAGGAAGATCGTATTGAGGGAATTGATTACTGCCATTGTGATTGCAGTGACATTTGCTCCCTTGCTCATGAATGGCTTGATGATGGCGGTTGCGAGCATCATGGAAAGTTCCAAAATAAGAAGAATGATCGACTGTGCAACCGGTGAAGGCTGAGCGAAGGCGATGACCATTCCTTTGATAATGGTGTAGACCAAAGCTGGCACAAGGAAGTAGTAGACAGGGGCGCGGTAGTAGATATACAAGAAACCCCACTGGTTCAGCGTGGCAGGGTCGGAATAGAGCGTGTACGCAGGAGTGTTGTGCTGCTGTTTCGATCGAATCGCGCGTTGGAACACCTTGAATGAAGCAAAAGCTAAGACGGCGGTCGTCACCAGCCACATGGTAATGGCCAGAACAATTTCGGCGGCCGAATCCCGGTGAGTCAGTTCCCAGAGGCATAGAACACACATCTGTGGGTACCCAATGCAAGCCAACCGGAAGAAGGTATTGCGGAGGATGGTTTTCCAATCCGAGGTAACATTGATGGTGCGATTCAATTTTGGAAGCAATGTCTGTTTCTTGGCTAGGACAGCTCGGGCCAGCAGGACCAGACCTACGCAAGCGACGACGACTGCGGTGATGAAGTAGAAAAATAGATATCCAGTCATAAAGATGTTAGTCAGTTCGATGGAATCGCGAATTCCCACCCGTTCAATACCGCGAAGAAGAATTTGGCTTCCTTTCTCCGCGGCTCTACGGTGAATCGCGGAACGCTTCTGTAGAACAACGGATATCGAAGTGGAGGATGTCATCACGCTCGATGGTGTACCTCCGGTGGCGCGTTGAAACCAGGTCGCAATTGTTTGGAGCGCATCCGATCGCACAATTCCCAAGCTCCATTGCATGTTCTGAGTCCATGATTGCACAAACGGCGGTAGTTTCGCTGAACTCATCCCGGCCATTGCCTGTGTTTGGATGAATCCGAGGAAGGCAAGCGATCGGAAAGCAAGATGGGTTGCCGTGTTCGAATGGCCGAGAAGCGATATGACCGTGGAGGTGACGAGACCAAGACCGGTTATGATGGCGAGTGTCCACGACACACCTGGTTGGTAGACTGATTTTCCATTGCGAACGCGGGTCTCTAAACAGGTGATCTGAGTACCTGAACTTTTGTATTTGAGTCTGAGACGAATCACTGCGTCGATGTCGGGGACGCTATAGGCGATCGCTATGACGTAATGGTTAGTTAAGTGCCACATTTTCGGTGTCCCCGGGTCTTCGAGGATTCGAAGGTTCGAAGGTTCGAAGCCCTGAAAGGGTTGTAATTAAAAGGGAAGTCCTTGGGTGTAAACGAACATGGTATTTGGGAGAGAACATTGTCACCCAATGTTTGAGTGATGGTGGGAATTTGCAGTTCGATGGCTTTCATAGGACAAAATACCGACAGGTCAAGAGAGCACGGATCGAATGTCTTGGTGAGCGCTTTGTATCCGTACACCAAGAGGTCGACATCAATGAGTACATCTCCGGCCACTTCAGAATAACCATCGAAGATAATGCTTATGGACTTGTTGGCTGGTGTGAATACCGCATTAAAATTGTTCACGGTCACTTCGGCACTGTCGGAACATTGTGTCAGCCCGGTGGCTTGGATGAGATTCTCTGCTTGTACAAGCTGAAGACTCTGGAGGACGAGGAGGGTGAAAGCTCCAAAAAGGGAGCCATTCAGTTGCATGACGACAAGACGGTGATTGTAGGAAGAGAAGATGGGGGAGTATGGTTCTTTTTCTTTTGGTTTTCCTGATATCATTCAAAAACTCCACAGTACGACGTAAGCGCTCAGTGGATCCAAGAGATCGTCCAGGGTCGTGCAGTGAAACAATTAACTCTCAGGCAACCATCATTTTTATAAAACAGATAAAACAGTGGATTGAACTCCGTATCCGTACCTAGGTACCCCGTACTCTATATGGAGTACAATGGAATCATGATCAACAAAGGTGTTCCCCTGTTCCTCTGTTCCCTTGGTTATCCCAGCCTCTTGCCCCTCTACACTGCCCCAGCCTCCCAAAGAGTCTAGACGATCATGTTGATTATTACTCCGTAGTGAAAATCTCTATTTCGGCTTATTCTCGCACTTATCCAGGCACAAGGTCCGGGAATCAGCTAATGCAACATAGAAAAAAACTCTACGCCGCCACCGGTCAGGCCCAAATTAGTTCCGCAAACAGCCATTTTACAAATCCCCGGGGTTAATATCTCCTAAATGTGTCTACTATTCCCTCAGATCGTTACTGTTGACACATTCCACGGAATCACTTGGCTTTGAGTTTATACAACATAACGTTCGTCTGTTCTTTCCGTCAGCTTCCAGATTGTCGGCTGATCATGCCCCTTTTAGGAATTCTCAAAGGATCTGATTTCCCCCCTCTAAATTTAGAATGGGCCAACGATTGCGTCTTTGAAACCATTCATGTCTCTCATTGGGCAGTCTAAGACCGCGTGTCAATGTCTAACCAATAGAAATTATCTCGCGTCATTAACTTAATCAAGTTCACTGCCCCCAATTAGGAGATTGTGATCTAGAGCTACGTTCATCATTTTAGCAAGGTTATGGAGTCGGCCACCTTACTGTAGAAGCCCAGACTGCGATGGGCCGTGAAATTTGATTGGGTATGTTCTTTGGTACATATATTTCCAAGGTTGAGACCCCGGATTTTAGTCAACTTGGGGTTCTCCCCTACATCACTAACATCAAAATATTTCCGCCATGCGACGCAGCTTTGTTTTTATTTCTATTCATTAATCTATCAGACTTATCAGCTGACAATCCAATCCCTGTCATGATCTCTCGCATCTACTTGAATAGGCAAAACCTGGCTTGGTGCTGCGTTACAACTTGATGAACCAAGTCGGTGTGTTAAAAAAAAAATACACTATAACAAATCACCATACTCTCAAATCGACGTTAATTGTCATTAGCGACAGCTTCAAATATGTACCGGAGAGATTAAGAACCACGAATCTTCAATATGATGTGGTGTTGATCTATACTCCGTAGGGCATCTCCACTCCAGGGCTCGTGGCATGACGTAGTCACCAGCCACAACCCTAGAATGGAGAATGAACGGCAGCAAAAAGGACGATCCGAGGAGCTATTTACGCCAGGTGATATCATATGTAAATGATGGTATGGAGTACAAATAAAATTTTACTTGATTGCCCAACTCCCTATGCATGCTATCCATCCCATCAGACCTGTCATCGGCCAAGCGAACCTTCGAGGAATCGCCACCACCAAATCATCATACATGCCCTCGCACCAATGGATATATCCCAGCCTCTATCATAAATCCACGCATCTTTTTTCCGTCAAATCGTCAAATCAAAACCCCACCCGAACATCAAACCCGGTGAGTCGTGTTTGTTTTCCCGCGCGAGCATGTAGTGAAATGGACGTGGTCGCAACCGGAACGCTTTGGTTTTCTGCTACTCCCAAGACGGTACAGCAGTTTTGTTGTTAGTTTATACCCTACCTCGCGCGTGAGAAGACGGAGTAGTAGTCACAAAGTTGTTTAATAAATCAAATGACGCCTAATATCCATGGTTTGCTGCGCTTCGCCGCTAATTGACGCGGGTTTTGTTCTAAATATGAATATGATTTTATGCATCAATAGAGAACTTGAATGATAATATCTGGACATTAGGGCTATCGAAGTAAATAGAGGCAAAAAAAAACACCGGAGAGGCAAAGATCTGCCCTGCGGCTCCGATCGTTTTGCTAGGCTGGGCCGCCATCACGCAAAGACGGGCGGAAAACTTGGCGAACTACTCAACACTGGGGCAGCATACTGTATGTCTTTCCAAATCAAAAAAATAACTCGATTAAAATGCACACTAGTCTATGTAGCGTCTATACATCGTGATCATCTGTACAAGGTCCGTAACCAACTCTATATATTTCACTTTCGTACCTATCTCGCTCATTTTTGCTTCTCTTCACCTTAAGGTGTAGGAGCAACTGAACCGGTGTTCTCCTCATGGTACGATGTCTCCTTGACCTCGTAACGGAACTGCTCCTCCTCTTCCGCGAGAGCGGCCTTGAGAATCTTGTTTGCTCTCCAGACGGGCTTGCAATCAAACAGGCGGTCGACCTTTTCAAGAGGGATACCACTAGTCTCGGGGATGAGGAAGAAGGCGAAGAAGAATGCCAAGAATGACAGTGCAGCGAAGAAGAAGTATACGCCGTAGTGCATCGTTGCGAACATTTGTTCGGTGAAGCGAGAGATGAGGAAGTTAAAGAGCCAGTTGCTTGCAGTTGTGGCGGCCTGAGCCAGGGAACGGAAATTGGGGTCGAAGAATTCCTAATGGCTTGTTAGGAAAGGTTTGAATTGAGGGTTGTAATAAGCAATGACTTACGGAATTGATAACCCAGGGAGTACCATTCCAGGTAGGAGTGTAGACTGCAGTCCATAGGTAGAAGAAGACAATGGCCGCAATGCCTCCACCATTCAGAGATGTGCTGGGGTTATCTTCGGGCTTGACAACACAGATGTAGGCACCGATGACCCACATACAGATCGATCCAGTCACAGCACCGACAAGGAGCAGATTGCGCCGTCCGAATTGATCAACCAGGAACAGGAGCCACACGAAGGTCATAATGGCCTTAATAACACCGAAGATACCGGTCATCAGGTTAACGGTGTTGGAGTCGACACCAATCTAAGGAACATAAGTTAGCATAATTAACTGACCATTGGAAGATGAAGCGCAATCATACCGATCTGAAAATGGTAGGCGAGTAGTAGTTGATGGCATTGATACCAGAACCATTTTGCCAGAAGAAGAGCATGCAGCCCAACATCAGACGATACATGACGCTCTTGTTGGTAGCGAGAGCCTGGAAAGGCTTCCAGAAACCAATACCAATAGTACTCTTCTGATTCTCAAGAGCCTGGTCGATTGCAGCCACCTCTTCGGTGATATACATGTCGTCGGCTTCTAATTGGCGGATCCAGCAGAGATTTTCCATCGCTTCGCGGCGACGGTCCTTGAGGAACAGCCAGCGAGGGGATTCCTTGATCCACAAGGCACCCACGAAAAGCAGACCGGATGGGACAAGCTGGATAGCGAAGGGAATGATCCATTGCTCGTGCTCTTGGGGCATGTGTTGCTCGACACCATACTACCATGTCTAGGTTAGCTTTGAATTCAAAGATCAGCGAGAGGCAGGGAAACACACATTAATCCAAAAACCTAACATTCCGCCAATCTGCCAGCCAAGCTCATACAGACCGACGAGCCGTCCGCGGATGGCAGGTGGCGCTAGCTCGGAAAGATATATGGGAATGATATTTGAGGCTACACCGGTACCCAAACCGGACAACACACGACCAGCGTAGAGAATGCCTAGCCCTCGGGCACTGTTGGCACCGAGTTGTAGTCCAGCTCCGAGGAAGAACACGGTGGCAGCAACAGCCAAACTCCATTTGCGGCCGATGAAGTGGCCGAGAGCGTAGGTACCCAGGGCACCGAAAAAGGCACCAGCAATGAAAAGTGAGACGATGTTCTCGCTAATTAGATTTCGTTGTGTGGAAGACATCTCGTCGAGGCCGAACTCCTTCATGAAGGAGGTGAGTGTGATAGTTGTACCGATGAAGGCACTGGTATAACCGATCATATTGGAGCCACATGATGCAATGCCAGCGAGTGCATATACACGCCAATTGTAAACGGACTTGGGCGTTGGCCGATCCTCAGCAAGTGTGAGAATGCCCATGGCTGAATATGTGACAGCTCGGGGTGTGGGAGGAAGAATGGGAGGTTAGGGTGAGAAGAGCAAAAAATTTGCTCAAAGGCAGATGGAGAAAAGAGAGAGTCAGGATGTGCTAGAACGGGGCCCTAAGTAATACCCGCTATCCCAATGGACTGTGGGTGTGGAAATACCCCAACTAAACTCCCCACAGCATATATCGCCTAAAACCCCATAGACCGGGGCAATATAGTATGGGGTTCAAACGTGAGGCTACGGTGCGGCGATGATTACAGTGCATGCAGCATGTCCACCAGTGGAAAAATTGGCCGGGGTAGCGTTTTCCCCGGAGGAAACGTTCAGCCGGTAAATAAGCTTTATATAGTATCGAACGTATATCAAACTGAATGAGATCACAGGGAGTCTCTTGCTTCCTCCTATACAAGGAGGTTTCCTTGGATGTAATATAGACACTAAGCATGTTTGTGGCATGTACTTTTTGCTTCTTCGCCAGAGAGGAGTTTTATGGGTTTAGCCGTCCGAGTATGTATAATGAATAGGGGCACCGGTGAGGCCCATCGCCAAGTGACGGACTATCTCTCCATTTTTGGTGGAATAGTAATGCAAGCTGCAGCAATGGAGAGACTGGCATATCGAAGTCCCGCTTGTTAAGTGAATACCCCATGATCTGTATCCCCGAATTATTGCAGACGCAAAAACATTTGCCTATAGGGGGAGAACCCTTAACCACGTGTGGAACCGGAGTTTTGCCGAGCTCTCGGGGAGGCAAACCAGACCGTATACCGTAGGTACACACCGAAGAGCGCGCACACCGAATCACGGCAAACGGGAGAAGGGGTAAAAGTCTGTTTGATCCTTGCCGACTTCGGCACACTAACCGAACTAAGCTAGACAGATATACATAGAAAGAAGAAAAAAAGAAGAATTTTCAACTGGATTGGTCCATATTGTGCTGACAGGAGGAATCCTTTCAGTCGCATAATCACTTGTCCTACCTGGAATCCCACACTCCCACAATATCCCCCGGAAGTGGCGGGATAAACCCCCACGGGCCCGGGATAGTACATCTGCACTAAACGTAATTCCGGGGTCTACATCGCAGGGGTTGTCGGGCCCGGATTACCAACAAATAGATATATAGGCGAATGTGCTGATCCAACAAAGTTAACACGGTTACTACATAGTCCTAATGTTGTTGCCGGTGTACAGGTAGTATTCTCATGACAAAAAGCTTGGAATTATATAAGCTCTTTTCGGCCCGGTTTGCGGCTTGGAAGGATGCCGTGGCATACCGCCCAGCCTTGGTACTCAACAATGCACTTTACCCAGGAATTTACTCCGTATACAAACCAACTTTTAAGTGTAGATGACTTCTTGGCATTGACCTAGCGATATTCCAGGGGTGTTCAAGAAATTGTGCTTCTGAACTCAGAACTTACCGCTCATGATTCTCCCAATGTTCTTTGTAAAAAATATTTTACTATGCGCTTGTGGGTGCGCGTCTTCCGGGATCCCAAAGATCCACAAATGCAGGCAGAGGGCTACGTGGCGTGGGGATGAAAACGCATGGTGTACTCCGTATTCTTTTAAAAACCAGACCGTTACATACCTGAGGCCCCTTGGAACAGTGTAGAAACCCCAGCCTTGGGAATCTAACGATTGATATGTCTTAGCAGCCTTACATTCGAATTCCATCGCATTACCTGCCTTGTTGACATCAGCTTTCAAGACGAAACCCACTGAGTTCCGAATTCAACAGAGTACCATTCCTCCTATCGGCTACAAGACCGACGCTTGATTTGGTCCATGTCTGTATGGAAGTCACATGTTGCCCAAAGGGTGGCACCCCGGGATAGTGTTTGGCCATGCAGCTTACGCGGCGGCAGTTTCCAGACTAGTCGGCATATAAGATCCTTTTTCTTTTTCAACCAAGCCCTTGGCATGGCTTGGAACTAAACTTGTTGATTGATGTCAGTCCAGCTTGGAAGGGATGCGAAGCGTGTACATCATGGATTTGCTCCTTGTTTTGGTCGCTTGGTCGCTCTTTGGTAGATTTTGGGTATGCTTCCATGGCTAGGACTCACTGCACCATTAATGCAGTCACTGCATTGCAGAAACATAATGCTAAGGATATTTCTAATCTGGGTGATACTAAAAATATCAAGCTCCCAAATATCCAAGACAGCTGCAAAGCATAGCGAACAGAAAACCACTCGGCCAGGGAGACTCAATTGTTCTGTGCCTATTCTGCTGCTGTCCAGATTGTAGACTATGGATGAACGGGTTTTCACATGGGTGTTTTAATGTGACTTTCGAGACAGACAAAAATTTGGGGCCATTTTGTTTTATGCTCCAGAACTGGGCGAGAAACGCGAACAACGCGCCACGATCGCGTTCAATGTGGACATGATTTTTTGACTCGTAACAAATATTTTGTGCACAGTCTCATAAACGAAGGTGTCGCGGAGAGATTCAGAAAGTTCACAGAGGACCTTAATGATCAAGGAACATGACGATTGGAGAGTGATGCTGGATGTCGAGAATCTGGAGGATGCCGGTGTCCTGGAAGATCGGCTCGCTGGAGAGACCCCGACTTCTATCGCATCAAATATAGCCTGCGTAGAAATTGAGCATAAGTCATTGTTGCTATTAATTTTGGAAAGTTCCAAGGTTGGAAAGACAAATTAAGGAACCTGAGGCATTAAAGTTGCCTGAGGCAGCAACACGTGCCATGAACCTTGGGCACTTCTTCGAGTCACGCTATGTCAACATGAACCGCCTGTATCTCTTTGGACCTTGGACCTTTAATCTTCAAAGAGTGGCCGACTGTCTCGGGAATTTTGTGGATGCGTCGTTTCCTGGATCATGACCACATCTAAAGCGGGGCATTCATTATTTCCAGGCAAGTCTTATCGGTTGAAGATATGCGAATCTCAGCGTGTGTCTAGTGATTCGAAACACGGTGTGAGAATCAAGTATGTTTTCCCTAGATTGTTAGATTGTAAATAGCTATATGAGCTAATCATGTTTTTGAAAAACTAGCAGCAAAGCAAACATTGGAAGAAATAATTGAACGCCTAATCGCTCATCAAGATGGAGAATCGGGTGTCTCTGGGCTCTATCCAGAAGGCCGTCTGGGACGGGCGCTTGCCACTGGAGATTGTTCTGGCTTCATCAGAAAGTCGAACATTTGACAAGACGGATCCATATCTTGTATGTCTGTTCTTCAAGCACTTGATTTGCACGAATGCTGACCTCGGTTACTAGATCGCATATCCGCGCATCTCATATCTTCCCTCGTTGCTACCTAAGCTTCGAGCTTTTTTCTCAAATTTCTTGATAGAGCCAAACTCCCAGTCTCATGATGGCTGGTTTGAGTTCGAGGGTGTGCCCCTGAAATGGCACTACCCAGTCGGGTTGTTATTTGACCTCTATGCAGGAGCCGACCCAGCCTCAAAGACCGCCAGAGATGATGAGTCCCCTAACGACGGGTCATCGCTTCCCTGGCGTCTGATAGTGCACTTTAGTGATTGGCCGAATGACCTTGTTCGCCTCGATGCTGATGGAATGGTCATGAACGACGCCTTCATAAACAGTGTGAAGGAGGCGGATTTCCTACGAAATGGTACAGCCAAAGGCATCATGAGTCTCTCAAAAGAAGACTCATCAGGACTTTGGAATGCCGTTCAAGAAAGTGAGTCAAACATTCTGCGTAGAAATTGCTCTGTTGCATCAATGATAGACCATTCTAACACGAAGAAATACAGTCGATCTTCACTCCTTTCAGCGCATATCGAGTATTCTTCTTCCTCAGCTCTCGCAACCTTTCCGCAACGTCCCAATTCGGATTTTTCTACCACTCCCACTAGATGCCGAGTCTTCTTCCCTTAAAGTGGTACAATCGCCACTTCCTCCTTCAATACCAGCAATGAGTATGCAGTCAAGTCAAATGTTGAGCTCGCGGAGCGGTTCCACTCTCCAATCTCAAACGGTCGGAACTATCTTGCACACATTGCTACCAAATCTATTTCCTAGTCGGAGAACCTTTGTCCTTGCAAAGCCCGTCTTACATGGTGCTGTGATACCCATGTCTACCCCGATCGAGGAACTTGTGAGAAGCTCTGCTTATGGAGATGGTTGGGCATATATAGTCGTTCGCATGATGGGCTGAACCAACATAGTACAAGTGATTTTGTCTGTTTTACAACACACCTAAAGAGCCTTCGCGTTCTCTGATCCACAATATATAATTTTATATACATATGCTACTTATCTCCAAGAGCTACAAAGCTACTGAATCAACGCGGACAGCCGTAAAGTACAATTATTTAAGTTTTTTTCAAAGTTGCTCAAGGCTTGAACATGCTCTCTATGTACACACCTCGGGACCAAACCCAAAAAATGAGAAAGAAAAAAAGGAATTTGAATGAGAGAAACGGTAGGCCAGCCAAGAGCAACCAAGAGCAACGCTGGCGCTATGCATTGAGAGAGCGCAAGTGCGGCAGAAAAAGAGTAGACAAGGAGACAAGGGGGATATAAGAGTAAAGACAATAAGAAATCAAAAGGCAAATAGCAAAACGTCGAATTAGTTGGTACGTATCTTAACAAGAAGACGAAACGATAGAGGGGAGATCCATGGAAGTGGTAGACGCCCTCGATCCCCAGGTTGAGCAATCCTCACCAACCAATGTCGATCCCGCTATCTCGCCAACATCAGATCCAATATCGACCGAGTCGATAGTTGTGGCTACACTCCTGCGCTGGTGTATTGCTGGCAACGACTCCAGCCTACCCGTATTATCAAACCAAAGCACACTCGCTGGGTTTTTACGAGCCAGGTCAATTGCTGTCTGGCCATCTCCTCTGACTGTATCGTTGGTTGGTGTTTCTCCAGCGTCTTTGATTGAAGGATCTGCGCCTGCATCTAACAGTATTTGGAAAAGATTGTGGCGGCCACGTTCTGCAGCTAAATGTAACGGCGTTCTGCCGTCGGATGTTTTTGCATCAAGCGATGCACCATTCTTAATGAGCAACAATACCAGTGACTCGCGTGGCATTTTGGCAGTTACTGCCATATGAAGTGCCGTCTCGGCCTTGTAAGAAGCCGTCGGGGCATTGATGTTAGCCCCGTGTGATAAGAGCAACGAAAGGAAAACGGCAGTCTTTTCAGACAATGGGTCTGGGGAGTTGAATGCATTTATTACAAGGTGATGCAGAGGTGCCAGGCCATTGCATGTTGTTGCATTGGCACTGAAACCAAAGTCTAGTAGTGTTTCGACAATGTCAAGACAGTCTTGGCTGAGAGGAGGCGTGATGTGAAGAAGAGTTTCTCCCTTGGCAGTTTGAACATCAAGTCTTGCCCCCTGGTCTACCAGGAACAGAAATATTGCTTTGTTTCCACATGCGGCGGCTGATTGTAATGGCGTATAGCCCTGTGAGTTACAGGCTTCTATGTTTGCACCTTGTTCGAGTAGATGTGCTGCAATAGAAATCGCGGAAGGTGAAGTTGCACGGGCCTGCTTGTGAAGCAACGAGTCACCTTCACTATCCCATGCATTGATATCCGCCCCTCCAATCACCAGAAGATCAAATGCGACCCAGTTACCCTCCGCCGCAGAGAGTTGTAACGCAGTGGTTCCCCGAGAAGAGCGGGTTTCTAAGTGAGCGCCACGTTCAAGGAGAAGAGCCACTGCCTCACAATTGTCTGTTTTGCAAGCAAGTTGAAGGGCAGTCAGACCATCTCTGTTAAGCACGTTCACGCTAGCCCCCTTTTCCAAAAGGAATGCCAGGATACGCGGCCGTCTCAGTTCCACTGCCAGATGGAGTGCAGTGTTTCCAGTAATTGTGTTTTGAACATCCATGTCAAATCGGCTTTTTATCAGAAGTGGAACAGTTGCCTCATCATGAGTTGTCCCAATAGCTATCTGAAGAGCTGTCGCTCCTTGATGGGTTGGTGTCCTAGAGTTGACTCGTCGGTGAAGCAAAAGCTTGATCAATTTCCGGTGTCCTTGTTCCCCGGCCATGTGCAAAACTGTTTTACCATCCTTGCAAGTCGCATTTATGTTGGCTTTGGCATCGAGAAGCAATTCAGTCATTTCTTCATTGCCTCGATATACTGCACAATGCAGAGGAGTGATGCCAAGTTGATTATCGCAGTCATTGAGGTCGGCACCTTGTTCAATTAAACGATTTGCCTTTGCAGCGATCCCAAAGTATGCAAGTACATGCAGGGAAGTCCAGTCGGGAAAGTATTTCCCAAAACCCAACTGCTTCGGCAATTCTATTCCGAGAGTGTAAGATTCTGTTTGAGGGGGTCTTCTCCAGCAAAGTTTGTTTAAGAATGCTCGGATGAGAACTTGTGTTGCCTGTTCATCTTCGCCAACTTCGCGGGCGTGGTATCCCCAATAGGTTGTAGCATACTCTAGCAGTTTTCCACGGGGTTTGCGAGGACTTGTTCCTTGATTGATGTAGCAATCATCAATCACTTCATCTGGCGTTATTATTGAGAGACAAACATCTGCAATGTTTGTTTTGGCAGTTGGAAAGAATACTCGAGCTGCCGGTCCACTGAGGTATTCTTTAGCTGTCTTGTGAACCAAGTGGACCGTCCCATTCATGGCGTCAATGGTCAGCAATCCGGAAGCTTCATAAAGTATGGTATGCGCAGAAAAAGAGGACTCCTTTGAAGTGCTGCTGCCTTGTAGCTCAAAGCTTGCTGCAAAGGTTAACTCTGAGACGGTCAGAGGTCTCTGGGCATACAATGTCCAGTAAAGACAACGACTGGCGAAGGGGTTCTGGCTGACAATGCGGGTCATAGACTCGCCGTATGCATCGCTTAAACTCTCGGGTAGGTGAAATAGAGACCTTTGCAGCAAGCTTCCATCATTGCATCGGGATAAAAGATCAATTTGCAGTCGGGCCAACAGGAATCTAAGCCGAAATTGTAAAATATTAGCAGCGAAATCTTAAATGCCGAAAAGCAATATTGCTGTAAGGGAGGTAACATCTTACAAGCCGTGTGACTTCTGAGCAACTTGCTGAACAACAGCAAACTTCAGCTCAGGACCGTATTGTTTTAGCAGAGTGCTCAGTCCTCCATCCTGCTCAATGCGGGAGTGTGCGTATGTTTCAAGATCCCTACGGGTGGCCAAAACGGATATGTGCTCGTCCTTAGGGGCATATTTTGCTTCTCGTGTTGTAACAAGAAGTTGTGCATGGTCTGGGAGTTTTTGAAGACGGTTCAAAATCCTTTCCTTCTCCACGTGCATGTCAATTCCGTCGATGACGAACATAACTCGCGAGAATCTGTTGACCTCGGCCCGAATAGCATCTTGATATGTCTTTGCTGAAACTTTTCCCTCCGCGAAAGATTTGGAGTTATACAATGAAGCGGTAGTATGGGATGGCGTCCGTTTTCGATATACAAGCTGCGCAAGTATCTTGTCGAGGAAGCCCACAGAGCTTGCGTTATCATCTGTTTCATCATGACCAAAAACAAAAATTATTGCGACATCTGCAGATGTGAATGCATTCTGCAGGCTGTCAATAATGGTGGATCTAGAACTGTGTTAGAATCTCAACGTTGATTCGTTTTGTGGCTGACTCACGCGAGGAAAGTTTTTCCAGCGCCGGCTGTTAATCTGGTTAGCTTTGGATTTCGATCTGGGTTCCGAGGGATTAGGTACCTGGTCCAACGCAGTAAAGAGTTCTGCTGCACCCAAAAAGCCACTTCGTGTATGTATCGTTGTTGAATATCCACTCGCATGTTCCTTTTTGCCGTCTATTGGAGAGGTCTGCCAGCCTCATGAAGCTCTTGGTTGTCATACGACTCGTGATATTGTGATAGTCCTCTGCTTTTGGTGTGCTGGC